AGGAACAACTGTCGAATCATATGTTGTCATATATCAAAACTTGGGCTTTGATGTTTTTATAAATAAAATAAAAAATAATATTTTTATTGTTGTTCCTAAAAAATTGTGACAATTGCTAATCGTTATAAAATTTCATTGTAATTTTTATAACTATTTTTGTCTTAAAATTATTAAGTTAATTGATGTAATTTATTACTGTTAGTCATAAGCTATTTTTGTATATAATTACGCATTCGATAATTTTTGTTTATACATAAAAGTTGTAAATAGAATTTAATAAGAACAGAGTTAAAAAAAAAAAAGTAAACAAAGTATTAGCAAGAATCTTTGAAATAATGGAAAACATAACAAAAATTTCCAATTTATCGGATTGAGAAAACTTGCCAAGGTATAAACATTATTTAATTGAAAAGGATAGTGAAGTTTCACCTACTCTATCCATTAAGCCACCGTTGTCACGTGATTGCATTTTTATACCCCGATTCAACATGACTGCCGCATTGTTTTTTTTTCGTTTGACGTCAGAGCAACTTAATGAATATGTGTTAAACTTTTGATATATGATTGCATTGAAGAAACTCTTTTGGATATGATTGCATTGAAGAAACTCTTACAAAGCTTAGCTTTATATGGAATCAGCTTCTTTTATCAGAAAAATTATGCCAAGTAGTAAAAGATGTTACGAGATGATTTTACGTGATTTTTTTTTAACAAACATTATTATGTAATTCAATAAAAAGTGTTTATAATCTCCGATATATGTGTAATCACTCAAAAAAGTTATTACACCGCATATATTTACAATAAATCAAAGTTAAAAACACTGTTAGCGCCTGTGGTTGCTAGACAGTGCGTTGAAATAATAAATTAAAAAGTTCGTGGTTTACAAAATAAAGTGCTGAAGAACTAAAAGGTTCGATGAAAGACTGAGAAATCTCATCATCGAACCTTTGAAATTTAATGAAAACTAAAATTTAAACACACATACATTTTGAGGTCTACTACTTTTTTAGTTGATGAGTTTTCAGTCAGAAAAATTCTGATTATTTCTTTAAATTCAAATCAGATTTTTTAATTTTATTTTCAAGGAGTTTTTATAATTTAGATTACAAGTTGATTTATTGTAAGCTATTAGTTTATTGTATAAATAGGGGCCTCGATATGAAACAGAGAATTGGGAGAGCTTAGTTTTATTGAATGGTGTAATAAAGTTTCCAGCTTCTCTTGTGTTATATTTATTAACGTTATTTTGAAAAAAGCCACTAAACTCGTTAATAAATCTTCTCCTCTAAAAGAGGATTACCTCCCCCAGACCTGGCGCAGCATTGGCGCACCCCCCTGCTGTGGTTAATGCAGGGGGCCCAGCGCCTCACTAACTCTGTGACAAGACCGTTTTGGGGCATCTAAATAAAAAATTACAAACGAAAAAACGAACTTTTTATTTAAATTCTATACAAAATTATTTTAAAAATTAAAAACGTCAAAACAAACCAATGATTTAAATTCTAAATAGTTATAGTTTTATATATTTAAATTTAAATAGTTAAAATAAAAACACAAAACAAACGCTTTATTTAAATTATGAACAAATTAATGAACAAAAACAAAAAGAACGTTTTAATTCAAATCTAACAAAGTAACAACCAACATTTTAATTAAATTCTAAATTAAAAACTTCGAAAAAAAAAAACCGAAGGTTATTTTTTTAATTCTTATTTAGAACTATTTAAAAATAATTAGAACAAACGGGAAAAACGAAAATTTAAATTTATTATATTATATATTACTAAATTTATGTTTAAGTTCCAAAAACTAACATTTTACCTAAATAGTTAATCTAAAAATTGCAGACCTAAAACGGGTTTAAGTTGGAAATTTCTTGCTGATTTCAGTTTTTCTAATTCCAAAGGCTTTAAATATATTTATAATTAAATATATGTATATTATATACATATATTTTTCAAACTTGTTTAAAATTTATTGGCAAGAGTTCTAAAATCTACAAATAAAAATTAGACGCCAATAGATATTCACTACAGATCTAACATTTTCAGAATTTTCATAAAAGGTATTGTTGTGTACTTGACCATTGAATTAAGCCAATACTTTTAATATTGAATACATTTTATTTGGGGAAACCAGCAGTGGTGGATTAAGGCGTGGGGGAGGGGTGGAGGCAAGCTGCCCCCCCCCCCCACGCCCCCTAGAACGGTCTAACGACGCCCCCTAAAACAATCAAAAAAAAAAAATTATAAGATAAAATTACTGAAGGCAACACCGGTCGCCCCTATTCATTGACTTTGCCCCCCCGCGACACTTAACCTCAATCCGCCACTGGAAACCAGGGTAAATTTTCACCAATAAAAATTTCTAAGAGTTTTATTGTGACTTGCTTTTTAATTAGTTACCATGTAAAAAAGATCATTTTAGGAGGCATATTTAATTCTTGTATTTTTTTATGAAACAAAGAATACTTTGTTTTCTCAACATTAAGTAATAGTTTGCCATGAACCAAATCTTTGTTTTATTCAAATCAGTATTCACATCCAGAGTTTTTAGATATCATTGTTGAAAAAAATAGCTTTGTAACGTCAGAAAACATTTTTGAGCTCAATTTTAATGACGCATTACAAAAGTCATTGGCATAAATTATTTTTTATTTTTTTTCAAGGATCGATCCTTGAAGAATCTGAATTGGAAATTTAATTTTCCAGATTATACATTATAAACATATTTATACATCTAGTTTCTTTTTCGGAATTAAAACCTATATAGGCACGTGTTTTTCACGATCCAGGCGTAAACCAAAAGCACGTGTATATTACGGGCAGTTTTACTAGAGTTTAACACGTGTTTTTTAAGGTTTTAAAGTCAAATTTAAATGTCGCATGTTTTTATCAGTGGTTTCACATTCCTTACGGAAAGTTATTATAATATAATACTACGTTTCCATAACGGTGAAACCATTAATATTTTAACTGGTATTTATGGTAAATAGTAATAGTTAATTTCACGGAATAAAAACCATTTTTAATACGTGTTATTCTTTTTGTTTTAGAAGGTTTTAAAAACGCAACAGAAACCGAGCGTAACTATTTTCTGAGTTGTGCCGGCTGGGTAGTTTGTAATCTCTGAGTAATTATTGTAATTTTAAATAGGGATTATTTTAGCTAATTTAAGAGCATCGGAGAAAATACTTTAGTGAAAATTATAGTATATAAAATAAAGGTCTACTAAAGTTAGTTTTAGTAAAAACAACTCTATCACTAGATTTTATCACATCCTGGTAACTTATTTTTCTTTAAATAAGAATATGCTTCAAATTCTTTATAGTTTAAATCACTTTTCCATAACATGGCGTGATTTTGGGATTTTTTGTATATTTATAGATATATTATAGTATATTTTAATTGATTCTGATGTTGGTATCATTTTATTAGTAAGTCTTGGTCCATTATTGGTGAAATAGTTGTTGAAATCTTTTGAGATTATTTCAAAATATATCAATGTTGTTGATATTATTTCTCTCAGATTATGAAGATGGATTTTATCTTTTACCATTATGTCGTTTAATAAAAGATTGGCTTTTTGAAATTAGCGTATTATAATTCGATTTTTTTGCATTTTTTTGCATCTCGAGTTTAAACAACTTGATAAAAACTTGATTTTGCAATACATACCGTGATAATATTTGTTACAATCTTTTGATTTATGACAAAAATTTATTTATGACAATAATTTATTTATGACAAAAATTTATATTTTGATGCATGGCTATTTACATACATTAAACAGTAGAATTACATAAGCAAACATTTGAAGGATATTGGAGGATGGTCTGTCTGATACCTAATATATAAGGTTAACAGCAAAAAAAAAAAAAATAAATATTTATATATATATATATATATATATATATATATATATATATATATATATATATATATATATATATATATATATATATATCAAAAACCTAAATATTTCCTCTTAAGAACATGTTTCCATCTTTACGACAAATTTTCTGCGTGTTAACAATGATGTTTTCTGCGAGTTAGCAATGACGATGTTTTGACACACTTTGTCCCATTGTGAGGTGCCTGAAACAGAAAAATTCAACTTTCGGTTCAGACTCATCAACTGTTGATATTGTGGCGGAATTTGAAGTATTTTGAGTAATTTAACCGCCTTTATATGTTAAATATTATTTATATTATATTTTTTTAAATGAACGTTATGACAGCAAGGTTTAGAATTAAGATCCCTAGCGCGTTAATAATATTTTGAACAGTTGTATTTTTATTATTAAGTAAGGAAAAAGATTTACTTTTAGGTAGACGTGTTTCTATTAATGCCTTTTGTATACATTTTTAAAATAAATAGACGCGTTGAAGCGTTGACAAAAAACTGTTTCATCTAGTCTAGCAGCCTTTTATTTGAGTTATTTGCTTTCCAAATTCAGGTAAAACATACTTATGCACAATAACGTATTTGTTATGGATCGTCTTAACATTGCTATTAATTCTTATACTTTTTTATCATTCGGCCACAACTTAGCTCAGTAACCTGACATCAGTTTCCTAATTTCTAATAGGCTTTTTACATTAATTATTGCGAAAAAAAATGTAATAAATTTTTTTTTTAATGTAAAAATTCGTTTCCACAAAAATGAAAAAATATATTTTAGTTTAAAATTGAATATTTATTTTTTTCAAGAGAAGTTATTTAAGAGATGCTGTAAAAATATTTTCTTTAATTTAAGAGAAGCTGTAAAAATATTTGCTCCAAATTTTATTAAAACACACATTTTTATGTAAGTAACATACAAGATCAATGGCATATTTTGAAACTTTTCTGTCAGTAACATACAAGATGATATCAATGGCTTATTTTAAAATTTAAAGCCGTTTTGCTCTAGTAATTTAATTAAAAAGGTTTTTAATAACATTGGATAGAAAAGGCGTTTTTTTTAAATGTCTATCAATTAAAAACAAAAAAAATAAACAAATTCAAAAAATTTAAAAGATCCACTATTCTTTTGTAAATTTAAGTTGTAAGTTTCGAGAGATCCTCCATAATAACAAAGGAATTTTCACGCGCGATTTTTTTCAGTCCATTCTGTACAAATCATCACATAAGTATGCTTTTTTTTTTAATGTGCGTATTAGTTGTTTTATTATCTGATTTTTTATAATTAAAATTTTTTGAAATGTGTCGTTAAAAACTTTAAATTTTTTTTTGGTACGATGTGAATGTTTAAATTCCAAATGGAATAGCTGGAACTAAAATAAAACTAAATACAAGTATTATGAGATCGTTTTCAAAGACAAAGTTATTGTGTTTTGTTGCAAGCTTATCTGTCATTTTGCTAACTTCAAGAATATTACCAAGTTTTCAGCCGTCTTTAATACGCATCACAAAAGCAAATCAAGGTTTTTTAAGCAAGAAAAATAGTTCTTTAAATAAAAGGTAAAAAATATAAATTAGTTGTTTGTTTACAATTATGTTTGTAAAATATTCTGTGTAAATTATATATCTGGCGCCCTTAAGAGTATTTTACACTCAAGGACGCCCACAGGATTTTTTGACGCTTCAGGTACAACAATTTCAGGCATTTTTCAAGCTTCAAACTCAAGTATATTCATACTTATGTCAAACAAGAATGTTTTGCAAAGAAACGCGGTAATGGAAGCCTGGGAACAAAATAACCCAGAAAGTTTGACCCCGCCTGCCCAAACACGAGGACAAAGAGTTAAAAATTTAATTTTACTATCTTACCTAATTTTAAATTATTCAACAGGTTGTAAATTTCACCAAGTAATCTTTTGGTGTTGGTGTTCGAAAGTAATGACCATGTAAAGTTTTTAAACCCCCCCCCCCCTCCTTCTATTTTTCAAAAAAGAAAAGAAAGTTAGGAGTTGTAAATTTTTTATTTATCTATAACTTCTGAACACTAAAAGAAATTTAGATAAAATTAAAAACCTATCAGTCTATTTAAATTTAGCAAAAGATAATAAATTTTATCAACTACTCTCACATTTGTACAGGCGAGTTTTAATTTTTTCTTTTTGGTGGGGGGGGGGGGGGTATTTTTGTTCCCAATCGGATTTTGTTCCAAATCGCAGCTTTTTTTTTGCAAAATATTCTTATTCGACATAAGTTTAAACATGCTTAAGTTTGGAGTTTGCATAATGCTTAAAAATATCAAACCTGAAACGTCAAAATGTCCTTAAGGCGCCTTTCTTGTACTAAGGGTGTGTTAGGTGTACTTAGGGTGCCCATCTTTTGACTGATTTTTTTCATTTTTAATAATGTTTAATAAAAAAAATAACAGTTTTGTTTTAGGAGTTGTATACCAAAAAAAAACGTTGTTTTCTTAAAGACTCATAAAACTGGAGGATCTACTATTACAAATATATTAAACAGGTTTGGGGAATCAAGACGATTAACCTTTATTCTACCAAAATTGGGAGAAAATAGACTTGATTGGCCATGGTTTTTTCGTAAAGATTCGTTTTATCCTTTAAATGGAAGTACACCAAATATTCTAAACAACCATGCTAGATATAACCCCGACGTGATGCAAGAGATAATGCCCAACGATACTGTATATATAACTATTGTACGTAATCCGATTACTCAGTTTGAATCAAGTTTTTCTTATATGACTTTTGATAAAATATTAGGAATGCAAAATTCCACTGACCCATTAGAAGAGTTTTTTAAAAATCCTGAGCAGGTTTTAGTTAACTACGTTCTCACACAAGACTTGCGAATCAATAGTGATCGATTAAAATTAATTAGGAATGGTATGTTTTATGATCTGGGCTTAGAGTCAAAAGATTTTAAAAACCAGAAAAAAATTCGATCGAGTATCGAAAAACTCGATTCTCAATTCGATCTTGTCATGATCACAGAGTACTTTGAGGAGTCTTTAGTATTACTAAAGAGACTTATGTGCTGGGAAATCGATGATGTCGTTTTTTTCCGTTTAAAACAAAGATCAAATGAGCTAAAGCGAACAATATCAAAATCTCTACAAAAAAAAATTATGCAATGGAGCCAAGCTGATGTGCAATTATACAAACACTTCAATCGAACTTTTTGGACAGTTTTAAAAAACATAGGAAAGGATTTTTGGGACGAAGTGAACTTGTTAAAAGCAAAAAATAAAATAATGTCGGACTTATGTCTACAGCAAATGAACCAAGTTTCATCCGAACTTTTTCAAACAGTACAAACTAAACAGTACAAGTTAAGAACCAACATTCCATACAGCACTAGAGAGATGTGTAAAAGAATGACATGGGATGAGATCAAGTACGTAAAACATTTGAGAGAACTTCAAACAAGCAAAGACGAAAAGAAAGATTCAAACGGAATACTTTTAAAAGCAACCGCGTGGCTTACAAATCAGCTTCATTTTTATTTAATATAAAATACCATCCTTTTTTTTTATATTTTATAATTACTTTTTATATTTATTTATTTGAAAAAATATATTTATTTTTTTCTTTTGTATTTTTTATATTTCTAAAGATAAAAAAAAAAAATTTCAATAAAAAAGCACAAGTTTTAAAAACTAATGGAATAAATTAACTGTTTCAAAAAATTAAACTATTTGAAATTAATTGAAAAAGTCTTATAATAAATAATGTCAATGTTATTTGCGGAAATAGGTATCCAACTTTATGTAATCTGATTTTTTTAAAAAACGTATCAACACTGCCGGTAAAAGGAGGTACAAACTTACAAATTTGCTCTGAGAGCAAATGGTTGATCTAAAACTAATTGATTTTGTGTTACCGATTTTTGATATTTATTGAATACAAAATAAAAAAGTTTATCAATTTTAAAAATTTGTAAAATATGTTTAGTTTAACGTTTTGTATTTAATATTATAAAAGACTTTTTTACTTTATTATGTATTATGTTTTTTTTATTTAAAGGTTTGTGCATAATTCATAAATTGTTGATAGATTAGAGTCATAACGTACAATTCTTATTTTTGTTCAAAATATATTTTGATAATTTACCGTTAAATTTCATATCGAAATTTGCAATTTAAATGTGTTTGCTTAAATATGCATTTTAACTTAAATTATAAATAAGTTTAGTTTTAACAAAGCACAGTCATTTTAGCTTCTGTAGCTACGACTTTTGCAATGAAGAGTCTTTTTAGTTAGTTTTTTTAGTTACCTCAATAATTAATGGTGTTTTATTATATTTTTTTTGTAAAAGACTTTTAAAGAAGTTTAAAAGTGCATCAACAGAGTGTTTGCGTATAATAAGAAACTTATTTTCAAATTATAAATATTTATCTAGTATAAGTATTTTAATATTCTTTTTTTTTTTTAAATTTACTTTTTCTGTTTTATTTAACAAGTTCTGTTTGTTTTTGTGCAGAGGAAAACACTAAAATTTATTTTTAATTTTTTTATTATTATTATTATTATTACTAAATTTAATCTACAGCGGAAAAATCCGTGAAGCTGGGAAAGCAACCAATCCCTGCTATGGTAGATCCAGTATAGAGGATTACCAAACAAAAATAAAAAACAAATAAACATAGAGTTAATAACATTCCCTAACGAGAAACAGAAGTACCAGTCATTCAGTTTTTTTTGGAAGTGAGCCAAAAAATCTGTCATGCTTTTTTTGAAAGTGTTAATGTTGACAATATCTGGTACATTTATATCGAAGGTAATGATATCTGGTGGTAGCAATACTTGCAATTTGCTAATAATTTGCAATATACTTGGAGAGTGTGTCCTTCAAAAGAGTTCTAGAATCAAAATGGTATGGAAAAAATCTTATAGCTTAAAAGTTCAAGAGCGTCTTAGAATATATGGTTTTAAAAGCTGTTTACAGGCAGCAGAGAAAAATCATTATCAGGCATAAAGATAATATCTGGATATTAGACAAAAAGATACTGAATGTGAGAATTTTTCGTTTTTGAAACTCAAAACTTTTGAGAGAAATGAAAGCCTTAAATGTATATTTTCATTATAACAGTTTATAAATCATGAGATAAATGATTTTTACATTTAAACATGAAACATAAGATATAATATTTTATGTTTCATGTTTAAATATAAAAATCATTTATCTTCTGATGTATTTATAAACCTTTATAATGTAAAACTCATAAATAAATACATCTTCGCAATGGAAGAAATCTACAAGAACCTTTCGGCCAAACTATATTTAAACAACTAATTATTTCTTATCGCGGTTCTTATTTATGAAATTAAATAATTTTGCCAAATTTTGATTTGTCTTTTAAATGGACTTTAACTTCTTTTAAACGAAAATTAAAAGAAGTTATCTTTTCAGCAGAAAGTATTTTATTATTTTTTTTAGTTCTTTTGTTTTATTTTATCCAGTATATTTATATTTTGAATGCACAGCTATATATAGTTTATGTTTATTGGTTAGTTTGATTTTATTGTTTTATCACTATATTTGATATTGTAAAGGGCTTCGTGATAAGATTGTCAGGGTTAAGAAGTCCTGCCGATTATTATTTGTAATAAAGCTCTGTAATTCTGTAATTGTAATTTTTTTTATTAAAGGCATGTAAATATACAAAAAAAAAAAAAAAAAAAGAATGGTGACAAGTATAGCAAAATTCATCATCAATTTTGATATAGATTAAACAGTGCACATTTTGGGGTGAAACAAATTTGATTATATATCTTTTGTTAACATACATTTAGCCATTCATAACTCATTCATAACGCAATAAAAGGCATTTCTTATTGATTTATGTTTTAAAAATTTCCTAAAACAACTTATTACATGGTTATACACAAAATTTGAAATAATAACTGTTTGAAAAAAAAGTTTCAAATTGTAACTGTCAAACATTAAGCAAAAACAAATTTAAAAAAAAAATCTTAAACTTTTAAAAATAGAAAAATAACTTAAGATGTTAAAAAGAGATTTATTGATTGAGAAAAGGTTGAAGCTAATATTTTTAAAAAGTATTTTTTACATAAATTTTTTTTCAGTTTTGCACAATAAGAAAATGGATTTTCGGATACAAAAACTACGATAGCAATTAATTTGAAGCTTCAAGGGTTCTCCTCATTTTCTCGAATTGTTCCTCAATAGTTACTTTGAACATTACAGCAAAGTTTGATTTTCATATAAAAGTAGAGATCATAACAGCGTACTTTTTGGGATCAAAGGCTATGACCCTGTAGAGTTTATAATCGTCTCATTTTAAGAAGAGGTGGAAACTTTACATGATCATAACTTTTAAACTGTAAAATAGTATTAGATGAAATTTGAAATCTATCCATGCATATAAGTTTAGTTTTTTTTTAAACAGATTCACTCCCAACAAGACTGCAAGCAAACAGAATTAATTTAGGCTTTACTAGAAAACAAAAGATAGCAAGAAAGAGCAAGAAAACGGTTGACTAAAAATTTAAAAAGTTAAAGGTTTTATGAGTCGGGAAAATATTAAAATTGCAGAAAGTTTTAAAGAGTTGAAGTGTGGGAAAAAAAAATTAGAAGAATAAAATTTGAAGAGCATGAAGGCGCAGATACCGTATAAAGATGCAACTTTCCTGAACAACGAGTCAAGAATGAGTTTTGCCTAATGGAGCTAAAAATAAATACACGTTTGAGCTGCAACCATAATAGCATTTGTAGAAAAGAGAAGAAATGCAACTTTACAACATGGGGAGAAAGACTCAAGCTTGACAGATAGAACAGGTCCAACTAGATTTATTGCGCGTTTTTAGACTTTGTCGAGAAGAGAAAAAGCATCATTAGAAAAACCAAAACAAATATGACAGCAAAAATCCTTACTGGAACAAATAAAAAAAATTTGGAAGTAGAAAATGGAATCAAAAGTAAGATAATGGCGAGCATAATAAAGAGAAACAACCTTAGCAGATACTTGCAATGAATTGTATATATATTTTCCATAAGAGGTCAGTTATGAATGATAGTCCAAGAAATGACAATACTGCGATAGTTGTTTGCAGTATATAGCTACGTTTTGTTAGAGTAAAAATTCACAAAATAATATAAGTCTCAAAGCAAGCTTCTGTTGCAGGAAAGAGATTCAAGATCAGCTGCCTGTTCTAAGCAATCGAAAAGAAAAGACCTTTTTTTAAGTCAGAATAATAAAGTTGAGTGGTAAAAAAAGCCATTTTAGATGTAAGATTGTCAGGAAGATCATTTATGAATATAAGAAACAATACAGGATTAAAAAACAAAATAAAATCTTGAGGTGCCCGAGAAGTTACTGCAAATAAAAAAGAGTGCTGACTATCGAAGATAACTTTAATTAAAATGCGATAAAAAAGAAATAATTAAAAAAAAAATTAAAGTCTTAAAAGTTTTTTTAAATACTCCATTTGAAACATGCTTATGGAGAAGACCAAAATGCCAGATCTTATCGTAAGCTTTTGAAATGTTAAGAACGACAGCCCTTGCTTAGACGTCCTCCATTTAGTGCATAATAGCATAATTCAGTTAGAGCAGATGGCAAGTCAGCTGTAGAACGAGAAAGTTAAAAATCGTATTGATTGTCAGAAAGTAAATTATAGAGATTTTCGAAATGCGATTAAAAATTCAAAGACCGTGCTAATAATAGAGATAAGACTTATCTGAAAAAAGTTGGTTTCAAAGTGTTTTCCAGAGTTATTAAATATTGGAATAACAGAACCATTTTCCATTTAACCATTTTAACCATTTTCCAGCAAGTAGAAATACAAGTTTCAAGTAAAGCACTTATTAAATAGTTTAGAAAAAATTGAAAAGAGTTCTGGAAAACAGTTTTGTAAAACTATGACATGAATTTTGTCCAGACCACAAGCCTTAAAAGGGTTTAACTGAGAAGTGGCTTTAGCAATGAAATATTGAGTTTATTGGATGTCTAACCTTGGTTACCCTGTTTAAATGGAATGGTAGAAAGATTATGACAACAAGAGTCAAAATAGAGGTAAAGTATTTTGCAAGTATTTCTGCTATACATTTGGGAGAGGTAATAAAATCAGACCCAAAAATTAAAGATGAAATGTTTGACTTGAGATGAAATCAGATAGAATGTTCGACCTTTATTAATGACACTGTTGAAAATTTTTTAAACGTCTCTAAACCCAAACTTTTAAGATATGATAACTGAGGTAACTAGGAGATTACATAAAAGGTGTATTTATCAGCATAGAGACAAAAGACATTGAATACAAGTTTTGATCAAAGGCAAATCAAAAATCAAGGAGTGAAAAAGTGATTAAGGTTGTGCATTCAGTAAAATATCAAAGTAATAACCGTGCCATTTTTCTGTTGATGGAATCAGCCTCTTTGAGGGCTACCACAGAGTTCAGGAAAACTTACAACCAGCCGGCCGCAAAACTATGGACACAATAAAATATATTTAAAATATTATTTTCTTAGCTTTAGGGATCGTCCATAAATTACGTCACGCAATTTTTGGCCTTTTGTAACCTCCCCCCTTCCTCGTCAGAAAATCGTAACACTTAAGAAACAAGTTTTGTATGAGTCGTCACAAAACCACCAACCCCCTCCCCTTATAGCGTGACGTAATTTATGGACGACCCCTTAATATTGACAAATATTTAGTTATGTAGTATGAGTATAAAAGTAAGAGATATCCAATCTATATAAATGGTTAAAAACTCATTCGATTTGATTTCATTCGATTTGATGCAGAACTGTTAAAATCTCTATTTCTATTTTTATTCGACCTCTTATTGGTTGTTTGCTGTAACAGCAACGACTTCTTGTTAAAAACCATGGCCTACTTACACGGCCTTCTATTATACTAAAATCGAAAAAAATACAAGGCCAGTTCTAAAAAACGTATATTCAATTATATGGACAAACTTTCTAAAAATAATTTAATTTTTTCGCTATAAATTTAAAGTAAACTTGGCACTGGATAAAAGTTTTTGCGTTAGGTTAATGGGCGTCTCAATTAAGCTTCACCAAACTTATTGATAATAGTAATGGTCA